TATTAATTAACTGGTAATAGTTAATAATTATTAATTTGTGCATGTGATGGTATCGTTTCCCTTAGGCAAAAGCTGCATTGAAAGAAAAGAAAAATGATTTGGTTGAAGATAAACACACATCGAGAAACTCCACAGAAATCTATTTGGAAGATGATGAAAGTACGGAATCCTAAGGATATGATAGCGTTAATTATCTATCCACTCTAAACGTTAACTGCTTCCCTCCCTGACAAAATAGAAATGTATCAATCGGCTTTTTTAATTCTGAACCTGTCACGTTTTGATTCAGAGAATGCTGGTTTTAACCTAGTTTCAGTTGATTGCAATTTATCCAAATATAGTTTACAATAAACTGACTAGAGCCCGGTTGCTTGTTCAAATCTTCAGTGATCGATGATCAATGAAATAAACGTCATTGTAATGAATAATTGTGAAAAATTTGGATAATTGATAACTGGTATTCACTCAGCGAACCCTCGAATTCGTCTCGGTTTGCACAACTGTCTCGGCAAATTCTCCCAATCCCTCTCGTGTTTATATCAGGCTGTGCAAACAGGGAAAACGTTTCTTTTTTTTGCTTATTAATGGGAAAGTTGCATGTATTTCCATTGGGTTTCACTGTGTTGTTAGTTTTGTAAGTTGCTATGAGAACGATCAAGAGAAAATAACGCGGGAGCGTTCAACTCCTCATTAGTGCCATGTCGCGACGTTTTCACGGACTGGTTTACTTTTAGATAACGTTTTAAAACACTTTTTCCCGCGAAAATGGAAGCTCGCCCTACCACTATGAACCCTTTCAAAGTGTATGATATGAAAAAAAGAAAACTAAACTTCATTAAATGCCTTGACACAAGTACATGGAAGTTGCTCGCTCCAGGTTGTGGGCAGAGCTATGAACATAACACGAACAATCGTAATCGGGCACGAAGACCAGCTTTTATAATTGTAAAGCGGCGAAAAAATCTCGATATGGTCTCTCGGGGGAATGTATCGAAACAAGTTAGTTAAGTGTTTTGTCATTTTCTCCTTTAATTTCGAGTCTTTTCATTTGTACGTTAGTGAAGTCTCTACTTATTTAGCTACCTTTTATAGCTATGTATTTCTATTCTTCACTCCTTTTGCAATTTTTAAAAAGATAAATTTCATAGTTCCTTTACCTAACCATTATTACAAATATTGTTATTTACATTCTGCCATTTAGTTCCAAGCGGTCCTTTCAACAAACTAAAAAATGCCTTTGATAAATTGGGCACACGAGCAGCCGGCGCGAAGCAAGGTCTGACTGAGTTAAAGCAAAAGTGGAATCAAGTCCCATTTGGTGAAAGAGAACCTGTAGTAGCAACTCTACAAGAAGCTGCCTCCAACATTGCGAGTTTTGCTAATGCAGGAGATGATCCCATTGGTGCAGTTCAGGGTGCAATCAATATGGTGGGACAGTTTGCAGCACTTGCTGGCCCCACTGGCGGAATTGTTTCGGTAGCCTTGAGCTTTGTTTCCGGGTTTCTCAGTCTTTTTGGTGTGGGAAGAGGAGAGACGAAATCTATTGGGGAAATCGTACGAGAGGAAATAGATGAGGCATTTTCTCAATTTTACGAGAAAGATCTTAGTAACCAGGCACGAGGCATCGCTAAAACGTTTGATGTGTCCAAGGCATATGTGGATAGACTTGCTCAGTCAGGGCGTAAGCTGACCGTCCACGAAGCGGGGTCACTTGAGAGGAATGTACCATTGTATCTTGGGCTCGGATTTATGGGAACATTGTCAAGTGAGATAGAACGTCTTCTAAACGCCAACGAGAAAAAAGATGTCAAAAAGACATTGAAATACATCGAGCTTTACACAACGATGGCGGTTCTAAAAGATGTGATTTTGCAGGAGATTGCCACATTATTGCCAGAGGAGCTGGAACGTAACCGAGAAGCTATATTAGCCGCCCAGGACTTCTTACGCAGTCAGCAAAGACGTCTTTTAGGATTCCTTCGAGCTGGTCGTGTCGGTAAGCTGGCTCTGAATTACTTCGATCCCGACGTCAACAGAGTCACAGATGCCTATTTGACTGCGCTGTTGAAATGCCCAGACTACGATCGTTCCATGGCCGGAAAATGGTGTATCACCCCTTCGATTAGTGGTAAAAGGCCTCTGCCAATCAAATGGTCGAAAGAACATGGTTACTATTTAGTGCAGGACGGACACCCCTACATCACCCTTGGCAACCAAGGCTGCTTCTGGAAGCTTATCCCCCATGGACACAATCTCTACACAATTGTCAACACCTACGGTGGTCCCAGGCATGACCACTATGGACAGTACCTGTCGTTTGACATCCAAAATGATCCCTACAACCAAGCGACAGTGGAGAGCGATGCGAACCTTTGGGAAATCACCGGTAATAATCAAAGGAGGTATGTGAGTTAGGTGAAACCATTATTTCCTTGGTAGAGTACCCCATAATGATATCAAACAATGAAACAATGAAACTTCTCCTAGGGTCAGCATCATAAGCCACATAACGATCAGTTTAGATCATGCGCATGCTCACTCTGAGCAGCCTTGTCCTCGAAGCTATTGGAGAGTGAAACTGGATTGCAAGAGAGCATTTAATTTCCGCACCACAAGTGAAGGAGTAACTTCATATAAAGAAGGGTGGGAGAAAGGCTTTTTAGCGTTATTCAAAATCGTGGCTTGAGATGCTCAAATAAAAAATATTGAAAAAGAATTAATTTCGGAAAAAAACAGATGAAGTTTACAGATTTTCGTGATCAATAATTAACTAAGGATGCTGTAAATTTTCCATTTGCTACCCGCTAAGAACTGAATGTTGTTTCTAACGCAAACTTTTCTTGTATAAAAATACCATCTTTACTGTAAACCTTCCTAAAAATAATGTCGCCTTCTAAAGCTTCCGGGCCGCTTTTTTGTAAACCATTATACCAACACGCGCAAAGAAAGCACTGAAGCACATGTACCAACTCCGCGGTAGCTGCCGCAGCCCGGGTGATATGGTTGTGCGCATACGTACGGTATTGCCGGGCTATAACGCGTAGTTGGTGCTTCGCGGTGTGCTTCAGTGCTTTCTTTGCGTTGTATACCAACATACCCAGCCTGAGACTTGGTGCAGCGGGGGGGGGTGCACCTGTCGGAAGCGGTCCTAATTCTTCGTACCCTGCTAGCAGAGTCGCTTCTATCTTTCCTAGACAAGTCTGGAACGACTTATCGAGGAAAGATCGAAGCGACTCTGCCAGCAGGGTAAAGTCTTGGTCACATTAACAGATTAAAATCTGATTGAAGATGAAGATCTGAAGATTTTACAGGAGCTGCAGTGTCACGGCTGCTGTCCAGTTCGTTTTGTTTATAATGCCAGTCACGTGTCTGTATTCGCTTTGGATTGAACTTGAGAAATTACTTGTGAATGAGAAAATCACAGCTTCTTGTCAAACAAATATGTCTCCCAGTCACCATATCAAACGTTACAAACAACACAAGTGAACTTTGAAAAACTGTTTGGCTAGCAAGTTTTCAAAAACCATAATTCCAATCCGCTTCAATCGTCTCCATGTTTGTCCATCAGTGCCTGATACCTTGACTACCTTCTTTTGTATTTGCTATGTAATTTAAAGCTTCTTTTCACATTTTGAGTGGTATTTCGTCACACAGCTCCTTTAAGCAATCTAAAAGTGCAGTTATATGTTGTGTTGTGCACACCATCAAATTATGTACAATGCTTAGTTGTTTTGAAAAGAAAACGAAGAGAGAAATTAGTCGTAATAGAATTAGAAATGTAAAGTTTTTAACTTGCTTCAAACACAATTTTCTGGAGACCATAAACATTAGCTTAACGTCAAACAAGAAACGTTGCAAAGCATTTTTTTTGTAGGCTAAATTTGAAACTGTTGCAGTAAATCCGTCAATGTAAATGAAAGTTTTGACTCCTTGTTATACACATCATGAAGGTTATCGGCGATGACTTTTTTAAAGAATTTGATAAAAAAAAAAACAAGAATTTGCATAAAGTTTCTCTCGGAGTGGTGTTTAGGAACAAAATAGTTTCCAAAACAACTTGCTATTACAAGTTAATTTTTTATTTGCTATCCTGGCTGGTATAATTAAAATTTCGCGAGGGTTTATTTTGGTGTGTCTTAATTTCGTGATTTTTTTACAATCCCGAAAAACGCGAAATTAAAACCCCGGTAGCTTAATCTGCTAAATATTTCTTCCACATGGCTTATTATTGCTTAACAGAATCCGCAGTAAATGGGGTTGTGACTCAAACAACAAGTGGTGCAACCAGCAGCTAACACCTCAGATACGTACTATAATGACTTATGGCCGTGGTTTCATGTTCAGTACGCGTTGGTTGGATATCACCACAATTGGACTGACAAATCGCAACGTCGGCTATATTTGGTGGCTCACAAAGGTAAGTGTTAACAACCTTATCTTGCTCAAGCGAAAGAAAAGAAAAAAAGAAAACAAATTCCATATCCCATATTTTAAGCGGGAGGCTTGTCGAATTTAATTTCATGGACTTCAATATTTTCTTCACAGACGAAAAGCAATTGAAACATAAAAATCGCTTTCTTAAATTTACAAACTAAGCTCATTTTCATGCTGAATTTGGTAAATTTGCCGATGAAACGTGGTCATCAGAGTGAATTTTCCCTTCACTCTTTTCTCCTCAAAGCATTTCATAGGAAACTAGAAAGAGAGTTTGTTTAACTTACAGCATTCAAGATTCTTCAAGTAATATATCAAACATGAGACGCAGTGTTTCATCACCAGATGAAACACCGAGAAGAGAGTTGAAAATACGACGCGCAGCGGAGTATTTCTGACGAACTTCGAGGTGTTTCATCTGGTGATGAAACACTGTGTCGAATGTTTGATATCTCTTCTCAAACAAAATCATTTTTGAAGGAGAAATTAAGGATGCAAATACTAAGCAGTGTTTCATCCGATTTCCAAACACTCATTAAACATTAATTTCCTTTGTATTTTCTTAATGAATTATTAATGAGTTTGAGAACTGCTGATCATTCCCTTATTCTTATTTCTTACAAGTGACCTTCATATTTGATTGAGCAGTAATGTAACCATGGTAACTGTAAAGACCTAAAATGCTTACTCTTAGGGCTTTAAGGGTTCATTCAGTAATCACCGACCTTTTTCGATACAGTAACCTTTATTTAATATAAGTTCTTTTACCTTCAGGTTACAGGACATTTTGTAGGTGAATGAGACAAACTTAAAGCAAGGGGTACACATACACACACTTGGCAGGTTTACTAATTTTTTAGGTGCCATTAGTGGATTTTCCCTAAATGGTCCATATCAAAAGTTGAAAAAACCTTGGAAGGGTCTAGTAACCAAAAAAGCCTGGACTAGAAGACTTTAAAGACGTTTTGTATCAAATTGGGAAGGCTTCGCCCGCGATCGCAGTCAAAGCTTTGTGATCTGAATGAATGCTTAGATGGCGTGCCATTCAGCGAACCGTTGCTAAATGGTCTTAGTGCCATCCAAGCCTGTGACCAAAGTGACAAATTTCAGCAAAGAGCCTATTGGTTGCTCACTAAGGGTACGTACCATTTATCTCAACTGGTGCCCAGGCCAGACCAACTCAATCGAAAAGAAAATTCCAGATGAGATCAGTAGGTACGGCAGCGATGGGTTTTAGCGAAAACTTTCGAAAAAAACCTTTTTCATTTTCAAAACTTCCGTTCCGGCTTGTCAGTTCTGACGTTTAGGAAACACCCTAAAATACATCCTTGCCTTTTCTAAATCTGTCGAGTACATCCTTCACTCATTATATGAATAGATTGTAAGCGCAAGCCTTAATGATAGGAATTTAACGATAAACCTAACTAACATACTTTACAAAACTTTACTTTGGTAGTGAGTTTTGATAAAACAAACACTAATATTTTTACTCTTTACTTGCTCCTAGAATCCTATCTAGAGCTAAGAAGACTTCAAGATGAGAACCGCATACCAGTCCTTGAAGCGGCACTTGCAAAAAGACCAGTTAACGCTAAACGTTGCTACAGTCTTTAGTAATCTGTAAACTGACTAAATAAAAGCATTTAAAATACTCACACTAGATGCGCTGTTGTTACTTTACCGAAATGAGATTCTATTTGCAAGTGAATCCGAAAAACAGTCGCCTGAAAGTCAGTTGAAATTGTGTGGTCTGCTTTGACAGCAAACGGCTATAATTGCGTTCGATGTGCGAAAACGCAACCCCTTATTTGTGTTGGGTGTTCTGTGCATTATTGGGTGTCCTGTGCAATTAATAGTCCTCGTCGACACACATTTGCCTCGCTTTGAGGAGCTCTCTTACGTTTTGTCTCACTTTGACGCACTAAGGCCTGGTTCAGACGCCGAACTTTTCATGAGCCGAACCTAATTCGAATTAAGGCCGACCCAAGTTATTTAGACCGGCTAAAGTGATTCAGACGCCTATCTTAATTCAAGCCGAACTAAAGTCAGAAGGCGAAAAATGCGCATTTCGGTCAAACTGCTTACAAAATACGTCATAAGAATTTCTGCATTTGGTTCGGGACATGAAAAGTTCGGCGTCTGAATCAAAGGCGTTCCAAAGTCGATCCAAAGGCGACATTCCCACCCGGGCTAGGCGAAAAGAACGTCTGAGCCGTTCCAAATTGAAACAGGCGTTCCTAATTGATTCAGACGCCGAACTTTTCATGTACTTAATTCAATGTATTAGGTTCGGCTCATGAAAAGTACGGCGTCTGAACCGGGCCTAACTCACGTGGTGATTCGTGTGTCCTCGGCGTTCATCTTTCAAACGTTTCCTGAGGTCTGCCATTCTGTCTTCGTAAATTGTTCATCTTTTAAAAGTGTGCTGAATTTTCGTAAAGTGTACATATTTAAGAGTTTGCTGAAGGCTACTATCGATCTGTGTTTAATGAAACTTCCAAAGCGTTCATCTTTCAAAAGTGTGCTAAACGTTTACACCCTGAGTAAAATTTTACTTTGGATTAAGCCTTCATATTTTTTTTTGGAAAATGCTTGCTACTCCTGGTGCATGCATTAAACCGGGTTGTTTAGCTTGGCGTTCGTTGTGCCACAAATTAAATTTACCGGCGAGTTGTGAAGCTCAGCGTCTGTTGTGCCACAAACTAAATCTACTGAGTTGTGTAGCTAGGCGGCCGTAGTGCCACAGAGTAAACCTACCGAGTTGTGTAGCTCGGCGGCCGTTATTCCACAAAGTAAATCTATCGAGATGCGAAGCTCGGCGGCGGCTGTTATTCCACAAAGTAAATCTACCGAGATATGAAGCTCGGCGGCACCATTTCATCTTGACGTGTTATATTTTCGGCACTGGACAAACGAACATTTTCAGGCAGGTCAACTCGGATCGACTCGGATCGAATAAAAATATACAAATACAATAAAATTGGACTCGGATCAACTCGGATCATAAAAAAATCAACTCCGATCATAAAAAGAAAAATAAAATCAGTCGGCATCACTTACCTTTCA